AATAGAACGCTATCAACACTAATGATTTTACAAAAGTTTCGCTTAACAAAGCTATTTGAAGCGAGTAGGTAGTTTGCAGTACAACATAATTGGTTGGCACGTGCCTGTCAAGTAGAACATCACTGAATAAAGCGTTGGCCAACGCCGCTCCTTCAGCGATAGCGCGCCGTTTTTGTAAGTACCCCATCATCCCGCGGCAAGATAACGTAGGCAAACTGATCTCCCACCCACCAAGCAGCTGATCGACAGCGCCGCCGGCTGCAGAGCCTTCCGCAGTGGTCACGTGACCGGACCAGCCCGCCGCACCCGGTTTGGGCCGCATGACCTCTGCCGCGGCGGCGGGTCGATCCAGACCCCCATCTCGTCCCGGCCCCGCTGGCAGGGAGCTGCGCCACGTCCGGAGAATGCCGCTGAGACCTTCGCCGTGTTTTCCGCCGCGGAATCAGTACCTCGAGTACAGCTGTGCAGCGCTTTGTTATCGCACTGAAGTACCTATTATCGAAACCTTACCTGTTTTCTGGGAAATCATTGCCAATTTCGTGTTCTCGTCTACAACTTGAGCAATAATACGACACACAACACCAACAGCAGCAAAGTAATAGCAATAATACGACGCACAACACCAACGGCAGCAAAGTAATAGCCGGTGTCACCCTACACGTGGTGCTTTTGCGCCTTAAATTTCGTACACACGCAGCTTCCAGCATCCTCCTGGCAGCAGAAACTAAACCTGACCAATCAGCGAAGAGCTTTCAAAGATCAAAGCCGATAAAAATGGCTATGTGGCAGCGAGGCTGTTCAGCCCGGGACGGTTAGGCTACCATATGGAATATGGTAGCTTGGCACAGGCTCGTTCCAAGCTACCATATTCTCCATACATAGATATATAACACAAGATGTTTAAGTTATTGCAATCAGCTGCATAGCCTGGTTGTAAAGTAAAAGGCACAAACGCACTCTTGCACAAATCTGGATGATTTCTCACACTTGTGCAAGAGAATTACCGAGATCACAATCATTGGCACACTTTTGTTCCAATCTGGCAACCATTTATTTTCTAATGTAAACAGGGCCACTGCCAGCCGGCTCTGATAAGGGACATACTGACGGACAACGCTGTTTCCGTTCGGTGAGAATGTTTAACGTGTTGAGGATATCAGTCATCAAAGTTTCCGTATGTTGGTCCCAGTGGATGCATTAAATGTGATGCCACCGTTAACCAGCCCGTGGACAGATTGAATGCCGTTGCTTTAGACGCGCGGGCAATGAAAGCAGATATACAACCCGCATACCGTGTTCCCTTGAACATTTTCCGATGTGTTTGGGTTTTCTGTCCCTGCACGCCATGATACGCAAATTTGCCTTCGGCTCATGTCAGCTGATGCCAGCTGAACCAGGATCGCTTCACGGGGACTTTGCAGCATGGTGGCATCGAGTCTGGAATAGTTGAATTAAAAACAGCCTTACACAAACCTAATTTTCAAAAACTGAAAGACACCGTAAACTTACCCATCAGTGACATCTACAGCATCATAACCAGCACCAGGCGGCAGATCGCAGGCCCCCGTGGTATAATGGTGAGCATACTGGACCGACAGATCGCAGGTCCCTGTGGTATAATGGTGAGCATACTGGACCAGCAGATCGCAGGCCCCTGTGGTATACTGGTGAGCATACTGGACGGGCAGATCGCAGGCCCCTGTGGTATAATGGTGGGCATACCGGACCGGCAGATCGCAGACCCCTGTGGTATAATGGTGAGCATACTGGACCGACAGATCGCAGGCCCCTGTGGTATAATGGTGAGCATACTGGACCGCCACTCGATGGACAAGGTTCGAATCCTGGTGAGTGGACCAAAGCTTCCCTCACTATCAGGTAAAAGATATCGTTGAAATGAATGTTCCACATTTGAATACATCGAACCCACCAACAGATATAATGAAATAAGCTCACTTATAGCTATTGGTATGGTTTTAAGTGGAAAAGACCGCGTCAGGCAGCACCACTTCTCTGTTAAATAAAAATGCTCCTCAATATGTCATTGATTAGGTCATCGCACCTTGCACAACATTACTTGAGAGCGGACTGATGGCCGCTATGTCTGGAAATCGTGCTCACGAACGCCAAATGTGAACGACTAGACAACTGCTTTTTTGTCTTGATCACCACATGGCTAATAGAATAACAGGATTTGAATGACGTTACTATGTCATGACTGCCCGGATGGCCTTGGAACAGTCTTCCCGAAATAGTCCGCACGTCTTGGCTGGCGTATATCTCAGAAACCAGAAGGGCTTAGGCCTTAAGACGAGCTTATCTCTGAAGTGCATCAAATTATCTTCAAGATGGCTATTTCAGTTCAAAATCCCGTGCAAATGTGGAACACTCTATTTAAACTGTAAAGCGCTCTGGCAAACGTAGCTCCTCAGAGCTTGAGCAGCTGAATAAAAGGCAGCCTAACACAGGCATAATATCCCAGCTCGAAAAAGCCTTCAGGCTAGCTTCAGAACTGGGTTAAATCAATAACGGAATTTATTTCCGGTTTTGTTGGCAGCAACGATGCAAAAACCAAAGGTGTTTTGGCTGAGTAAAGGTCATAGTAAACCAGATCAAACGCCCACAGAGTTTGAAAGCCAAATCTCTCTCGGTTACGACCACGGGGTGTTGCATTCAAGACAGGTTTTGGAAGCGAAGACACTAGCCGTTTCCGGATTACCTGCTGGTGCAACCATGGGCCGTACGTATGGCTCGCGCCATGATTTACACACGATATATTCGCTCGCACCACACATTTGGTTTCACACCTTGGTTTGTTTTGCTAAATGAGATTTGATGGCAGTCCCTAACAATGATTAAGAACAGGCGATTCCATGGTTTACGCTCAAGAGATCGTGATCGGCTGCATACATGGATTCTCACTATTGTCACTACTATTGTTTGTCCTCTCTTCCGTTAAAGTGCGTCGGTCTCGTGTCATTGGAACGCCAGGCTGTTAAGATCTGACCCTGATCCCCCCCACCGTTGAGTACGTTTTCTGCGATCAAAATTTTTTAGGCTGCTTTTGTTCAAAGAATGAGTAAGGTCGAGCCCCGTTTAAGTCTCCGTGTTGCTGAAAAATCAATCCGGAACGAACATCTCGTACGAAAATGTAGAACAGTTTAAATTTCATAGCATTTAAAAAACCCGCCCCTACTGTTGAAAGCTGCGTGGATCTGCAGTCAGTGGTTGCAAAATATCAGCTTCTCGAAACCTTGACAGCCGGACCGTGCCGAATCCTGCCCAATGCCACCATCCATCAACCCGTTTTCTTCATGCATCGCGAATCCAATCAAGTCCAGCCCTATGAGTTGGACGTACTGATGCTAGGTTGTCGACCTTCAATACACCAAGAGATAGTTATTGAATGACGTTATAGAGCCAGCATGAACTCAATTGACTGTTTAGGTATACAGTAAAAGTTTGATTGTTATCAACATTGCCGATGGTTGCTCGTTAACGGCGTTTGAGCATTAATTCCCCGCATATTGAGGGAAACAACTCACGAAAGGAACTCCAAGCTCAATAATGCCGAAATACCATGAACTGAAGGCCTTTTTTGCTTAAACATATAAAGCCCAGGCCATCAGAGGAAAATCATTTCCTAACTAATCAGCCCATTAAAAGGAATCACATTTTGTACCGAATATAAAGCCTGCATCATGAACGAGATTATTTGGTTATTTTTTTAATTTAAATTGGTTTTTACATACTTACATGCATTTTGCCTTTACATACTTCTGTTCTCGTGGGGCATTTTTGATGCATTCTTATCCCTACCCACACGCTTTAGGGATTTCCCCATCCACACCAATTCGATACATTCATCAACCCCGAATCCGTCAGCTGATTCAGTGCGAGAGATCTCGCGCGTTGAATTGCCGCGGTAGGGTCGAGAGCGACACTTAAAAATCTAAACGTCCTCGACACTACGAGCAACACGGCTCAACCGTCGACTAGACCCGCGGAGGTCCGAGTCAAGGGGTCGGCAACCGCGGAGGTTTACGTTTAAAGATGTGAGGGCGACTTCCAGTGCCTGCGGCTACGTCAACAGCAGTCTATAGCCGTGACTTAAAAGGCAAACTCAGCTCACAGCCTCAGATATGTACCATGCTGTGCAACTGGAAAGAGTAGTGAGGTCAGTTGGTGCAATTAAGAATATAAAATCAGATAGGTAGCAAGGTAAATTAGTGCAATGTCTTCAAAATGGTATACAACGGGAGGCTAAAAGTTCTGAATAAATTTAACACTGCGTGAGAAGGTTAGTTAAATTAAGGCCATTGGCACAAGGCACTGGCCATTTCCAAGAGCACTTGTTCCGAGAAATGATCCTTATAACATGCTACGATGCTTCCAAAAACCGTGGCTGGATAACAAGGTAAACGTTCGAGTTGACTAGCAGGGTACGATTCAGTCACGTTGCAAATTATTTCCATAATTTGGAGGAACATTTTAGCTTAAGGACGTCGAGAACGATATGAGATTCCACATTTCTACAAAAAGCTTCTGAAAGGTTTTACTCCTATAAAAGTGTTTGATAAATGACTTGAATATATGGAATTACCATCCAGACTAAACTCGGTTTTTGCGCACGCAAACCAGGACTCTTAGCAGTGCAAGCAGTAAAGTAGCAAAACAAGCCTTTTTACAAACCTGAAGAAATGCAAGAGAACGTATTTTACAAATAAGCAAAATTCAGAACAAAGCCGTGGCTTTTTATGCAGTGTTATTTTTATAAGTACAAGCAAGAATATACCTTGCTCAGTCATGATCACTCCATTTTTCTTATCCGCATCCACCTGCTGCCACCCACCTGACCATCATGAATCGGAGGCGCACCAAAAAGGAGGTCGATACGACCTTGAACGCCATCAGCTGGTTCTCAAGACAATTGGCTGGGACAGTGACAAAACACCTGCTGCGCTCCCGACCTACGATGTAGCCCTGAAATATGCTCTAACCTGCATTCGTATGTGGCGAACTTTGCTGTCATGATTTTTGGGAGCACTGGATAGCCGGAATATGATCCAGTTCCTCGCGTACATCCAAGCATCGTACAGCACCGAAACGGGCAGCAGGAAGAAGCAGACGAACACCCAGCGGTAGTTGATGATGACATGCTGCAGGACGCCGGATGACGCCGTCATCGGGGCACGTGTAACCACAGGACGTGGCCGGCGACTGAGGCACCGGCGGCGGCGGCGGCAACCGGAGCGCGCGCGCCGGCCGTTCACCAGATAAGATCGATGTGCGCGGGGAGGGGCTCTTCGCGACGCCGCAGTCGGCTGGCCGGCTGGCCCGGCGCGTCGCCGGCCGTCCAGCGGCCCGCGGCAGTCGGCGTCCCGCAGCCGGCCGCGGCAGCCGCACGACCTCACTGCGTCCGCGCGGCCGACGTTGTGCCGCTCCGCACCGCCTCCGCTCCATGCTCTAGCCGCGCGCCACTGTGCCGCGGCGCGCGGTCATGAGTCAAAGTCATACGCCCGTACGCCTGACGCCTGACCTGCACAGCGCAAGGTCAAGGTCATACGCCTGTGCGCACGGACGCCAGTCAGGTCACTGGCGGAGACTTCCCAGCAGTTGCCGACAGCACAAGCGTACGACTTTGCGGGCCTTCTGACTGGGAAGTGCGCAGAACAGTTCTGGACGGCACAGTACACGGGCGGCACAGTTCAGTGCCGTGCGCGAGGGTACGGTCATTTGTTTGTCAATCGCAGTCAGCGCGTGGTCCGTGCATAGTACGCACTCTGTTCGACTAAATCCCGTCTGTCTTTCGGCAACAGTCCTCGCGCAGTCCGCTTCAGATATTGCCTTCCGCGTGGTGCGCCGCGCTTTGATGGCAGACGGCGGATGTATGTGTATGTGATGTACGTATGTGTTTTTCGTTGGTTTTCTGAGAAGGCCAGCTGTAAATGCGCGCTGGTACTGCGGTGTGTTCATTCACGGTCAGCCATTATCGATTTTACCACGTTAAACCTCTGGGACATTTGTTATCGATACCATTTTAGACAAACGGCGATGGGACCGAACAGTAATGTTGAGACAAACCGATAAAATAGCCACCAGTGGGCAATCACCAGGCCGAATGTGCTGTGTGATGCACATCCGGTCATGTACTATGCTCGGGCTAGGCCCTGCTTTCAGCTAGCTCAGGCATGAACCTGGGCTGGCTGAATGGGGGGAGGGGGGAGCAAGTAGGACATGACCCCGCACTTTTCATGGGGGTGGAACAATGTTAACTGTCTCCCTTTACATATCTAATTTGCGTTTGCGTACCTTTGTACCACCTTAATACGCGTCAAAATGGGGGGGGGCGGGGGGCGGGGGGGGGGGGGGGTAATTTGATCCCGCGGAGGTTTTTAACGAATAGTTTCTGAACGGCGCCCTGCCATACCTGAAATAAATTGGATATCAGATCTCCTGGTGTGTAAAATTAGATCTACCTTGCAAGGTCACTGCCACATGACAGGTGAGTCAGGCCGTTGCTGTCAGCGAAGGCTATTTCTAGGGAATTATTCAATCTGACGCGACAACGGAATGTTAGACTGACCCCTAGATATTTTAGATAAGTTTCTTAGGCAACAACACAATTGAATTTAGGACTACAACAAAGTCCATCCACCTCGAGTGTGTTTTGAAGGTCAGACAGAGGTCTAAACCAACCTGCTTTTTTATTCGAAAGCCTGCAGTGCGGCATAGTTCTGATGCTCATTTTGAATTTATCAACAACCAGGACCGTAGCATAGCCTTCTATAGACTTCTTTAATGTCATAGTAGGTCACTGAGCTAAAATGAACCTGGTCAAAATTTCGTTTTAGGAGAATAGTTTTTAGCGTAATCCTTGACACTTATCCGAATATACACAATCGCAAATATATACAAATACAAACACCAATATACAAAAACAAAATCTCCTCGGATTATGATCAACATGACCTTCCATATGTCATATAAGGTCACTGACCTTTAATAAACAATAATTACATTTTGCTTAGAACAGATATCTATGTTCAAGGCGGCTGCATGAAAATATCTGGGGTACTTTGTTCTTTGTCTGGGGCACCAATCTTGAGTTTCACCTCGTTCGACCTTATCCGACCCGAAGTTAGTGATCTGGGAACATCAAATTTTGACACAAGTAAGCTCACATACAGGCCAACCCACATCGTGAATTTGGTGTCTCTCACTCTCTTAAATGAGAGAAGGGTATACAATCAGCCAGCCGGTCACGTGTTAAAGGCAGTACGCCACCTTTTTGTGCTTTCGCTTATTGTTAGATCGGGCTCGTCGGATTTGATAGATAATACCAGCTTTTTGGAAATCCTTCTGAATAGCTCGGAATTTTGATTTGATGAGTCACTCGTGTGGGAGAACTCTCTTTGGCGCCCTGCTCACCGCTATGGGAGTAATATATTTAATTTGCCGTGCTCTTATCAACGTGTGTATTCTGTAATGTTTGCAACACACTGATTTGCGCAAAAACGCTTGTGCAATAATGCTACGAAAGCTGAAAACACTCTTTTTAAAGAAAAACGTACACAAACAAGGGGTTATTATACGCCGAATTCAACGAAACGCCATTCGTGACGCTTTAAGGGAAAGCGACTAAGCGAAAATGGCATTTCGTGGCAATGGCAGGGCACGCGGCATGACAACTCATGGCATTCAAACGATGGCTAAGTTGTCAACCAGATAACGCAACAGAGGCAGAAAGTTACATGAAACACCGGCATTAAATAAAGGCCTTATTTTTGCCTGCCATGCCATGCTACGCCAGCCGTCTATGACATACCCGCCTTGAGCTCCATGAACCTATGCTGAAGGGACTATAAGCAGGCATTTAGGCTTCACATGCCACATGAAAAGGCAGAGCGGAGCCGTTGGCACTAGAGCAGCCTAGAGTTGTCCCCTACATAACTCAGGTCGCCGTACACGATAGGATGAGATGCTGCGATTTTTAACATGAAGCAGCTGTAACCAGCGCGGTTTGAGGGAGATGGCTGGTTAGAGGGAATGCTCTACATTTGAGGATATTGAAGCAAACATTATATATGATTAATTAGGCTCAAGTATGGCTATCGGCACACTTTTAAGTTGAGAAGGTTCCTCTAGATAACAAGGTTCTCTGGTTAGTAAATTACTGCTCAATACTTTATTGTTTAATGACGTCATCATGCCTTGCACGACATGGAATGAGAGCCAATCAATGGCCGCCATATCTGGAGATAGTAATCAGGAACGCCAGATTTGAACAACTTGACAATTCTAGTTTCTTGGTCTTGATCGCCACATGGCCAACGAAATGGCGGGATATGAATGGTATTATTATGACGTTATGAGTACCTGGATGACCTTGAAATAGTCTCCCAGAAGTAGGCTGCTCGTCTTTTCGGGCGTTTAGCTCAAAATACGTCTGAAAGGGAGTGTTCCACATTTGTATGGGGTTTTGAACTGAAGCAGCCCTCTTGAAGGCTTTTCGGTGCTGTTCACAATCCTGCCCTTCTGAAGACTTAAGCCCTGGTTTAGTTTCGGTGCTGTTCACAATCCTGCCCTTTCAAGACCTAAGCCTAAGTTTCTGAGGTACACGCCCGCGAAAATGGGAAAAGGTATATCGGGGAGAGCATTTCAAAGTTGCCTTGGCATTCATGACGCCGTAATAACGTCATTCAAATCCTTCCATTCCCTAAGCCATGCGACGGTGAAGGCCAAGAGAAACATAAATATCGAGTGGTTCATATGTGGCGTTCGCGGGCGCGATTCCCTGATATAACGGCCGTCAAATGACTCTCAATCAATGTTGTACAAGGTACGATGACGTTATCAAACCATGATGCATTGACAAGCATATTTACTAAACAGAGAATTGTGCTGTCTTGAATACTCCTTTCCACTTAAAAAGTGTATCAATATTGTAAGTGAGCTTATTTCATCACATCTGATGCTGGCTTCAATACCTTTAAATGTGAAGCATTCCCTTTAAGAGGGACGGGGCTGTAGGCTGCACCGAGTGATCTGCGAAACATAACACAACACTTCCGTTGTTTCAACGGACATTCAAAGCCTTTTAATGCAGAAATACGGCCTGGGGCTAACTCGAAACTAGCCCATTATTCCAGCCCCGCGAGCGTGAGCTTAATTTGCACAATTGATGTCCTTATTAGCTTCATAAAATACGGGCAAAATTTCACCACATCAGTAACCTAAGATAGTTGCTATTATGCAACCAGTCACAGGCATTTGGACATTGCACCATATTTTGATAGTTCCCCACGAACTCCCGTGACCGAGTGACTTTACTGTCGGCCGTGATCAAGGATTTCTACGCATTAAAGTATATGAGTTAACTTCATCCATGAAAAGTTATTTAAGCTATGCAGGCTAAAGAACGTATCAAAATGTTCTCACTTAAGATGAAAGCTTATTGCGATTTCTGTGCTCTTGGGGTCAACACATCTTATATCCATGTAGCAAAAGCATCAATAGTTATTGCCTTTTTATAATACGTAACAAACGACCAATATTCGAGATCAGGAGTTCGGTGTCTAGGAAACACTGAAAAGCGCACATTCGATTCAGCCATGGCTGAATGAGAGCCCTGTCAGGTTATCATGCCAATTCACAAATTATTACGACGTTCATCAGACCAGCCAGGCCGTTTAAATGAAATCTAGTAAGCCGTACGTGGGTGATAGACCGAGATTACCAGACGCACATGAGAGGCACTGCGAGCGAGCCTTAGTCCGGATAACAGGCTCCAGCGACTGGTAGCCCAGCTGCTGTCATCGCCTTCAGCCCTCCCACTGCATGATTCCTGGAAATCTCGCTGTCGAAGTGGTCGCTTTAGTTCCCAGCAGTGTTGCTTTTAGGTGATCATGCTGGTTGGTGATTAGAAGCAGGTAGACAATTGCGCTTATCTGAACAGACTGAAAAGGTACACTAGACGAGCGAGCTGCTGTCTTCAACTACCAGTGCTTAAATAACTCCGTTGTTATTTTAAAATTAACTTCACGTCTAATAAGCGTTGTTGGCACAGGAAAAACGTTCTAAGGTTATAGTATACTGAGCGCCATGTTTCACCAAATGAATACGATGACCGGGCTCTTTGCACGATCAATCGTTTACTTAAACGTACTGCCATTACACGAATTCAAAAAAAAAACTTTCCTGGGCCC